TCAAAAAATTAATAAAAGAGGTCTGTCAAGAATTCACATCCGGTACAGTACAATTTTATGTAAAGCCAATCCATTTGGCCTCTACCCTTTGCGTGTCTTATTTATTTAGAGTTCCTAGCGTCAGAGACTGTCTCTTACTAAGTGTTTATACAGTACCCAGCACAATGGGGCCTCATTCTTGACATACAAAATGCTGTGTAATACAAACAATAATAATTCTTTTGTAATACCAAGACTGCCCTGGTTAATGGCCTGCTTTGTGCCTCTGACCATAGCTCCATTTCTTTTACTCAGTACGGCTTTCAATGCTATCAGTCACTGGACTTCTCTCCAGTATCTTAAGCAAGAAGTGGGTTTCTCTAGCACACTGTTCTGAATTGAATTCTAGTTCAGGATTTCTGAACCCATGGGTCGCATGATCCAAAATTGGGTTGCCAGAATGTTTCAAAGGGTCGTGTGGCAACTCCTGTGGCTCCTGTCCCACGGGGCTGGCAGGGCTCATCTCCCTGCTCCAGGCACTGCAACCTCTGGGGTCCCAGTGCCACTCAGGTTTGGCCCAGCCTCATGATGACGGGAGTCCGGGTATGCCAAATTTGAGTGAGTGGCACTGCAACCCCATGAGCCAGGTCACACAAATTTGGTCTAGTCAGGGGCACAGGCCCAAACCTGAGCGGCACTGCAGAGGATGCAATGCCTGGAGCAGAGAGCCACGCCCAGCCAGACCCACAGCACAGGAGCCACCACTATAGGGTGAGTGCTGGGCAGAACCCAACCCCTTTTGGGGAACAGGACCTGACCAAAATCACCCGAGGGTCTCTACCTCCAGGCTATTTACTGGATCACAACAAGCCATAAACATTTACAAATGGGTCCTGAGCCCAAAAAAGGTTGAGAACCACTGTCCTAGTTTATATCTTTCCAACTGTTCATTTTTTGATTTCATTAAGTTAATCAAACTACAGACATGAGACAGGGCTGCAGATCTGAATCCTGACTTCATGCTAACGATGAAGTATCTAAAATAAAAGCTTGATTGCAATAAACCCTCTTTATTTTTCAAGTAGATGCCTGATTAGCTCAATTGCATGTGCACTAACCATGAATATAGCGCTATGTAGCCAATGACAAGGTGTGTGATAGGGAGGACAATATGTGTTTTGTTTTTAAATTCAAATAGAGCTGGCTTGTTTTCTTTATTGTCCCTCTCCCTTAGAGGCGTATTCTGTTTGAATGTTTGTTTCCATAGTTACCCATCGCATTTGAAACATTTGTACTTTTACTCTGTTTCAATGTTTGATTTTCAATTTCATCTACCTCTTCTCACGCTGAGACTCTTGAAGTTTGTACCTGATAGAAGCAGGAAAATGATACTGCAGCAATTTTTATTCTACTGCTTTCTAAAATTTCATCCAAGTAGACTTAGTTTGTCAAATTTCAAGTACCGCCATAATAATGGACTGTTTCTAGATCTTGCTGTAGTCTAATCACAGCAGCCCCCAGCTAATGGTTTCCATCTAGCTCCTAGTGGGCAGGTGACCTCACTAGAAAGCCCATCCAGCATCCCAACTGGCACTCTTTCTGGTCCAGTACATAACTAGAGGATTTCAGTTTCCAGAGATGTCAGACTGACACCTTTTATGAACACTGAATCCACTTTGAAAAAAGTGCCGTTTGAAAGACAAACACCATGTCCTAAGAAAAGACATTTGGGGCAAAGGAGGAGGAAAGACAGAGGAAAATCTAAGGGTATGTCTACACGGCAATTAAACACCCACGGCTGGCCCATGTCAACTGACTTGGGCTCACAGGATTCGGGCTGTGGGACTGTAAAACTGTGGTGTAGATGTTTGGACTTGAGCTGGAGCCTTGGGTCTGGGACCCTCCCCCCTTGCCTGGTGTCAGAGACCGGGCTCCAACCCGAACCTGAACGTCTACACTTCAGTTTTATAGCCTCGCAGGCCCAGGAGCCTAAGTCGCTGACATGGGCCAGACATGGATTGTGGTGTGAATCCAGCACACTCTCTGGCAGCAGCAAAAGTGTCCTGTAGAAGACAGGTGATGAAAACAAGGAAACTATAACTCGTCTAGAGGCATATGCTTGGAATAAGAAGAATGCAGTGCTCATAAGTAGATAGAGACTGTCATTTAATGTGCTTTCAACCAATCCCTTCATTAAATTTTCTCTTCGTTAAATTTATGGCCTCAAAGGGCTTGCTGGTTTAAAGTTCAGTCAGTGCAACCCAATGGCTGTATGTTAACTTGTAGAACATATACACCTTTTGGACTTCAGTTAGCATCACTCACTGCATTCAAAGAACAGTAAGGCTGCAAAGGGAAGCACTCAAAAGTCAGAAAATTAGTTAAGATTATAGGTGCAACTGAATTCTGCCCTCTTTTCCATTCATATTATTCATGGTTAGTCTTATTACGTGGTCACATGCTGTTCCTTAGTAATGAAATATTATATAGTACATTTCTTTTAATAAAGCCTTAGATGTAGATTTATAGTATCTTGTAACAATGGACACTAGTGTGTCTGTATGAGATAGATTGGCACACACTATTTCTCAGATTATCCAAGGTATTATTACACATTTTATTCCAATTAGATACATTCACATATAATACGGTACTCTTTTTTTATGCAAGATGATTAAGATAATTGTACTAGTTCAGTTTATCTTTGTTTTGTTACAATCAGGTACAAGTGAAAAAGTGAGAGGAATAGTAAAACTGCTACTTTCTGTTGGAATATCTTAAAACTTGTACCTGGAATAGTGTTACAAGTCTATGAAAATCTGAGTGATGGTCCAGTTATAGGAGATAGCCTTTGTTAATTCAGATAGAGCTGCATTAACCACCAACAGCAATCAAGAATCTCATGTGATTCTCAATGGTTCTTTTGCATTCTGTTTCCTGTGTTCATTGCAGATTTCACACTTGGATGCTTTACCTTTGACAGCTTTTATGCCATGTCAGAACAGAGGGTGTTGGGTTCGGTCCTTACCCTTCTTAACGCTTAGATTGACACTGTACATTTTAGTTAGCATTTCCGACCTCAAGCTGTGCCCTTTGTACAGAGTCCCACTGGCTGAAGCAGTTTGATCTCTGTAATCCCAATATGTTTTTAAGATTAGAGGAAGTGCTTAATTTGTGTCAGGGCAGGTTTAGCAGTTCATAGCCCTGACACCTCTGGGCTTGCCGCCTCAGGTATGAAAGTAAAAAAATTGCTTGAGCCCCGGTACCTCTTTCATTACAAATAAAGCATTGCTTGAAGGTGTATTCTCAGTGTTTCCCTCTTTCTCTCTCACACACAGACTCTCACACATGCATTCACTGTGAGTGTATTTCTTTCCCTCCCCCCGCTCCCCCCACCACCACACACACACACAAAGTAAGTGATTTTAGCCCTTGTTGTTAATCAAAATGTTTGGAGTTACAGCCCTGGGGACTGAAGTCCACTATTTATCCAGAGGTAGCAGCTGTATAAGCTTCCCCACACTGACCTCTTATGCCTCAAACCTGATCAGAAGGCACTACAGGTAGGGGTAGGTGAGTTGTCCAGTCCATTCAATCCTTGGGATGAAGTCCTGGGGCAGGGAAGTCAATAAGAGTTTTGCTATTGACTTCAATAGCATCAGGTGTGTTGCTGGCTGACCAGGTTCCAGCTCAGGCCAATGTCCCCACGCCCCAGTTGAATGCTGACAAGTACATAGCTGGAATCAATCTGGCTCACCTGTGTTAGTATTGTTAAAGCAGGTATTAGAATTATAAGAATGTTAAGTGTTAAGACATTATTGAATGCTTGTGAGCTGTAGCTCACCTATAATATTTGTATTAATAGGTGATTAATTAATTTCTAGGATTACTGGGCATAGATAAATGTCTATCAGGAATGGTCTAGACAGTATTTGGTCCTGCCATGCAGGCAGGGGACTGGACTCGATGACCTCTCGAGGTCCGTTCCAGTCCTAGAATCTATGAATCTATGAATCTATGAATCTATTCCGTAGTGTAAGGCAATATTTGAGCATTTGCACTGTAAACCTTTGTAACTGTACCTCATCTGCCAGGAGAGAGACATTAACTAGTGTCACATGCTGGTCTCCAATAGAAGATGTTATGTGGTGACTGACAAGGAAGGCCCATTGACACCAGATGGACTAGAGTGGAATATTAAAGAGGATAAAAGATTTTGTTGTTTACTCTCCCCCACCCCCCAGGAAGATGAGTCTCACAAATGAATTCCTCCCACTGGCTGAGTTTACAGCTCAAATCAGAACAGGGGGGAAGGGAATAAAAACTCCTAGCAAGAAGGAACTGTGCCTTTCTGCTGCTTGGACTCTGGGGGGCTAGGATTACTGGGCATAAGCAAAAGATCCCCAGTGCTTGGCCTGTGTTAGCCCCAAATGACATATAGAGCTTGCTTATTATAGAAGCTTCTATTACCTTTTGAAACTTAAGTTTGGAACTAATTTGTGTGTAGATGTGTTTGCCTGCTCTAACTTTGTAAATAACTCTCTTTTCCTTTTTCCTATAGAATAAATCTTTAATTAGTTTATAACAGGATTGGCTACAAGTGTTGTCTTTGGTGTGAGATGTAAAGTGCAATTGACTTGTGGAAAGTGACTGGTCTGTTGGGAACTGGAGTAACTAGAATATTGCCGTGACCAGGGGAGCTGGAGCAATTTGTATAGTAGGGGGATGTTGAGAGCCATTGAACCAAACTGTAAACCCTGTGTATGATGGAAACCACTTCAAGTCAGGGGCTGTGGCAGCACCCCCCAGCACCCCTAGTTCCAGCACCTATGGCTGTGATTCATGGTATAAGGGACTATCTATCACAAAGGCAAGCTCACCTGCGTGGCAAAACAGACCCGAGTACCCAAGGAGACTGTCTGTGACTCCATATTAAGGATGTTATACTGCCTGAGGAGTTTACACTTGATAATTGGTTGGTGAAATTTAAGTAGAGAACTCACAACTAATTATACCTTAACAGTCTGCTCTGAGGTTGGTACGCATGCTCTTGAGCCACTGCAGGACAGATTGACACGAGGATTTTACCCCAGGTTATTCTGGTGAGAAGGAAAGAAAAAATATGCAAATTACTTCTAGTTGTGAGGGGTTTTTGTGGTCCCCTAGGAGCTGAACTAAGATTAGTATTATTATTTTTGCTTTTTTTCTGGGTGCATTGTCCTGGGTGAAAGCTTTATTCTGACTCCTTCACATAGGTGAAGAAGATTGGGGAGTTTGTCTCTGGACAGTGACCTCATGTGGCCATTCAGCAGAAGATTAATATTTTCCTGCTGTTTCCTCTACAATCACTATTGCTGGTCCTGAAATGCTAGACTATCACCAGCAAGCAGTTCTCACTAGAACTAGTGCCTTTGCAATTTAGTCTTAGGCAATTGTTCCAGTACTACTAGTGCAACTGGACAATATAACTTGCTTCACAACAGATTTCTGTCACATAGCAAGTCAGCCATTCACCAGAAACTCAGATGTAGCTGTGGCATATTTAATTCATAACTAATTCATATTATTGTTGATTCTGTGGATCATTGGTGAATTTCAGCACAAACACTGCCCTTTCTGAGAAGTGGTGTCTAATCTGAGCAGGAAGCAAACATTGATCTGAACTGGGACATTCGCTGAAAGACTTTATTCAAAACCATGACATTTCTAATCTTTAGTGTATGGTACAGTAGCTTGAAAAATGAGCAATAAAATCCCCCCAATTTTATTGTTCATCCAGTAGTTAAAACTGCAAATCAATGCTTTTCACATGGCAGAATGGTACAAGCTCTGAATTTTCACCTCCTGGACTGAGGACCCAATCCTGCAAAGTGCAAATCATTCTCAATTCTCCTGGACTTCCCTGGAGATTGATCACATCCAACACGATACAGGAGAGGGCCTGGAGTAGATTCCATTCTAAAGAATAAAGTTGAAAAATGAAGTCCTCAGAAGTCTAGAATGTTAAAGTCAAGGTTGCTATGGGAACCTTAACTCTGCTGTTTTGTGCACAAGTATTACAATACAGTCTTTAATTCCATCATAACACATTATTTTTTCTGTCGGACCTCTGCCTCCTTCACTGTGCAAGCTGGATGGAGCGCATTGAATGAGACAGCTCTTCAATGTTTATTTTCTGAATTTCTGTCCTCACTGTCCAATACGTGGTTCATTAGCGCATTCACTGAGAGCCATCCACCCGCGGCACCGAGTGAGGCAGGTGTTCTCTGGGAAAAATAGCACGTGGCCACGTACCATTAAGATTGTATTGTAATGCATATTTTCAAGGAGACAGAGTTAAAGTAATGTGGGCAGCTTTAACCGTGGCCTTTCCAGACTTCTGAGAACTTCATTTTGTAACCTTAGCATTCTTTTGACATAGGGTGTTGTATGGCATTTCTTAGTTCTTTTTAATTTATTATTTTGTAATAAAGAGGGAAATGGTAAAGAAATTCCATCTTGTGGAATTACTTGCTAGCCATTAGAAGAAAGCTCTATTCAGCTCAGTGTGGTCTGCCTCATTCAATGTGCACTTTAACTGGTCAGCTTTCAGTATTGAAGTTTCCCTGCTTTGTTTCAAATGCAACTTCACAATACTTACCCCATTCCATGATCACCTCCACAATCTTATCTCCTCTGACCCAGCTACTTGGTACCACTCAAATAGTGCCAAGAAGTTGCAATCTGACTGTGTCTGGCCAGTCAAAATCAGGAGCCAACAGGGAGGAGCATTCAGATGGCATAAAGCCAGCTTAGTTCTCTTGCACGCACCACTCTTCCCAACTCAGCATACGAGGGATGTTGAGTGGATAGATGGTTGGGTCAGGTGTGGAGCATAGCTGTGTTCTGCTGAGTCTCAGGTGCCATGTGGCTCATTAGGGATCCTACCCATCTAGTGTAAGGTAGCAACCCCATCGATGCTCTAACTCACACTAGAGCCCAAAGATTGGCCCAAAGAATGAGGAACTATAAACTGCTCAGTGCAAGGGAGAATCTGGCCCTACATTATCTGAGCAGAACCCAAGGTTGTTTCAGAGAGCAATGCAAAAGCCAAATAAATAAAAATAAAGTTAATGTGATGCACACTATGTAGAATTCCTTATGTGATGTAGCTAGTTATTATAGGTTTGTCTGTCTTTCTTGTCTTGGTAGCCCAGTATTACAGCCCAGCATGGAGCACTTTGACAGAATGCTATCAGCTGAAACTGATTTGCAGATTTCCTTCTACAACAAATTTTAAAATCTGACCTGATGCATTGTCTGGTTTTTGTTCCTCTTGGTTGCTGAAGCAGAACTAACTGCACAACCATGTATTGATTCACAACAATAAAAACACAACCTTTTCACACTCATTCAATGACCAACTGCCTCTTCTCCCATCCCGCCCACTCCCCCTCACAAAAAATCTGTCCCTGTATAAACCTCTTGATTCCAGCACAAAATATCATTTTGAAATAAAAGCATCCTCTTTTGAGGAGATTTGGAAAATAAGTGAGTGGAATTGAAAGCTCTCATGGGAAAATTCAAGGGAAGATGAACATGGGGAAAAATTACATACACAATACTGGATCAATTTGATTTTAAATCTGTTTTACTTGAAGCTATGTAATAAACTGGAGAAAATTTGTTCTTTTATGAAATCCCACAGCTTTTCAAATATTTCTGTAGAATCTATGAAGTGCTGAATTTAAAAAAATTTCCAATGCAATAACCTCACAATTCTGGTTGAGGCATATTAACTCTTTGGTCCCAGTTCAAATTGAACTGATCTTTTTAAAAGACACTTTAGATTGTTTCAGACTGTTTTCTTGAAAGTGTTACTACAAGGCATAGTTAAGGTTGTTTGGGTGCCTTAACTGTGCATTTCCACATCTTAACATGTTTGGATATGTTGTAAGTTTAATATTAACACTGAACTTACTGTGTTTATAAGTGCTTGTTTTGGCAATAATTACCCTATCCTTGTACCTTTTGTGTGTGTAAATCACTGATATGTACTCTCAATCTTAACTCCATTTTCATATGTATTTTGATTTGGAATTTCCTTGTGTTTTTTTTAACTATAATTTTCAAACATGAACAGTAAACAAGAAACCCAAAGAGAAAGTTACTATATAGTATTTCTAATGATCTGAAGCCATGTAGCATCCACCGTTTTTTTGTTTTTTCAATTTTATTTTAACATTTAGGGCCAAATTCACCTGTGTGCTCTGGCTGTTTTATACCATTCTGGACCTGTACAAAGCAGTAAGAGCATACTGGTCAGTTACACTGAATTTACAGCTGCTTTGTCTTGCCAGAGCAGCATAAGGTATGCACAACCCAGTTTTTCCCTCTCACTGGCTTCCCCGTACATTTTCCTGCACACACAATACAATTTGCCTCTCCCTCCAGTCCTCTGTATTCCTTGCACACTCTGATCCAAATTCCCCCTCCTGCCATCTCTGTAGAGTAGATTTGGCACAGTGGTTAAATGTTGAAATGATACATTTAAGATTAATAGCCATTTTTGCAAATTGAAAGTTTCTCCACAAGCAGGAGGGAGTGTGCAAAATCTCCTTCAAGACTCACCAAGAAATTGCCCTTCTTCAAAATAGTCACCTTTACCCAATTGTTCTTATTGGGACTGAGTCTAAAAGCTGTCCTCACTTCAAATCTCTCATTGTTCTATGTGGGAGTGAGGCCACAGGGTGCCCTTAGCAAAGATGGCCACTTTCAATGGGTGTGTATCCACCAATCCCCCCCCCCCCCCCCCCCCACGCAGCCTAGAAGCAAAAAAAGATCACTATGAGGAGTAAATTAATGGACGTGGTGGCCATTTTTGGAAAGGGCAGCCTGTGGCCCATGTTCCATTGAGAACAATGGAAGCTGGCAGCCATTTTGAAAGAGAGGACAGTTCTTCATGAGTTTCTCAGAAGGACCATATTGTTCTTCAGCTTCTGCTGAAGAAGAATTTTAGGTATGAACAATAATGGGAAGAATTACCTTTCATGCTAAATATTTAGGTAAAAATCTACCCATTGTACTAGGTTTACTCAAGATTCAACTCTGCCAATTTTTGTGTGGCTAGATAATGCCTGAGTTAAGATCATGTTGGAGGAGGGCAGGAATTTTACGCCAATTGCTAAATTTTTTAGGGATCTGATTTAAAATTAATTTATAAATTAACAACTTACTTTTAAATGGTCAAAAAATCCACGCAACATTCAAGAAATATATGCTGTAATTTTGGGGAGGATACAGCTAAGGAAATTATTCTTTCATTAATGACTTGGATAATGGAGTGGATAGTATGTTTATAAAATTTGCAGAGGACACCAAGCTAGAAGGCGATGCAAGCACTGAATATCATTTGGAAAAGCTGACTAGGTGGTAGTACTGGCTCATACATTGAATATGAGCCAACAATATGATGCAGTTGTCGAAAAGGTTAATATAATTCTGGGAGTATTAACTGAAGTGTCATATGTAAGACATGGGAGGTAATTGTCCTGTTCTACTTGGCACTGATAGGGAATCAGCTGGAGTATTGTACCTAGTTTTAGGCACCACACTTTAAAAAAGGTGTGGGCAAAATAGAGAGAGTCCACAGGAGTGCAACCAAAATGATCAAAGTTTTAGAAAACTTGACCTATGAGAAATGGTTTTAAAAAATGGACATGTTTACTTTAGAGAAAAGAAGACTGAAAGAGGCCTGATAACAGTCTTCAAATATGTTATGAGCTGTTTATAAAGA